AATTAAATCATTAAACTGTAAGAGCTCAGTGATGGGAGAATTTGGATCTTTTTTTCTATCTGTCTGAAGTTGCAATACTGTATACTAGAGAGCAATGTCAAACTGTTTTCTTTTTCCTTTGATATTTTATTAGCCACATTGCAAAGTAGACAATATTTATTATGCATTAAAATATTGTTAGAGTTAGCGATTGAAATTCTGATGAAAGGCATACTATAAAACATCAACTATGTCTGTGTTTCTATAGGGTAATGAGAAATAAGTGTGTTCCAAGTCCATAGAACACTCACATAAATACTAAATACGTGAAAATGTATCACAGTCTTAATATACATAAAATAGCTCTATGTTAGGAAGTCATATCTATTGTACCACAATTTGACCAACAACAAGTATTCTAGGTAAGAAAAATTTGGATTAGGGTCATTTTGTTTGATTTCTTAGAACAGATTCTCATATTTCTTTGGGTAAATATTTGTCTCAAACATATACTTACATTATAGATTGATTTAACTCTGAAGTGATAGCTTAGTTAATGCTAACCCATAAGCTCTTTGTGAGTTACAGAAATAGGACAAAAGGAGGGTAATGATGAGGAAAGATTAAGAAAAATTAGGAGAAAAATGTTATTTTCACAATCATCAACTCAAAAGCAACAGTGATTTTCTCTGTACCTAACCCAAACCTGTTTATTCAGTGGGAGCAGTACGTGGGTGCCTGCCTGGAAACACATTAAAGATGACTTCCTAAGGCTAAGGATATAAATTAATGTTTTCAGTGCATTTCCTAAAATGATGGACTATGAGTGACAAGCAAGATTCATATTGGCATCTTAAATCTGTTTCCAATTAGAGCTCTGGTTTGTTGGGGGGGGGCGGTATCCTCTGACAGCATGAGTTGCCATCTATCCCCTAAATGTGCTTAGAAACAGCATCAATCGTTTCATGATCTTGGTCATAAAGATGCTATAAGAAATAACTTTAACTCATTCCAAAGAAGAACCAAGTAATTGACCACTGGAAGCCCCAAACCTGTCATTTGATTGAATATGTATTCTCAAAATGCTTTTCTGTGAAGTAAATGTTTTTCTAATTAGGCTTAAAAATGTGAAATTTTCTTGCAAAATTGATTTTCCATTAAGGACTTGAAGTAGTTTCTTTTCTCTTCTGCCTGGGCACTAATTAAATTATGTCCCAACTTGTTTTAATTCAGCAATCAATTTTTTTCCCATTTACACTGGATTACAGAATCTCATTTAAAAAGCACTCTAATGAATTCACACAAAGAAGAGGTGATAGACTTATTCTCTAACAAAGAGAAAACAGCACTGGTCAAGGCTTGAGAGCTTGCTGCCTATCAGGACAACATGCTCAAATATAGAAGAAAGATTCAGGTGTTTCCTGTTGCTGTGCATTTCTTATTGTGTTTTAGAGATGGGAAGAGAAGCAAAAAGGAATAAAATGTTGCAATGCAAAGGATGCAAATTCTTCAATGTCCCTGATGCAGGTACAAGAATGAGACAACTTCTAAACTACGCATCAATTTAGAAAAACAGAAATTCAGGGCTGGGCGTGGTGGCGCACACCTTTAATCCCAGCACTTGGGAGGCAGAGGCAGAGGCAGGCAGATCTTTGTGAGTTCAAGGCCAGCCTGGTCTACATAGTGAGTTCCAGGACAGCTGGAGCTACAGGGAGACCCTGTCTCAAAAAGACAAACAAACAACCCCCCCCAGAAATTCAGTCATAGCCACTGATTGTAGTATTTGGAACAATGGAATAAACATTTTAAATATATTAAACATGTTAAACAAATGCATTATTCTCAAAGTATGATGGTTAGTTCCAGATTTGACTTTGGGTGACACAAGAAATTATATTTTGAATGACGAAAAAGGAAACTACGACTATGACAAATTCAACGTAGCCTGATGCTCTTCATATTGGAAGCCTTTGCAAATGGAAGAACTGTGTATGTTGATTATACGGAATTATTTTTTGAGGTGACATACTGAGAGGAAAATTGGATAAAACTAACAGTTTTATATATGTAGCCACCTCTTGAGAGAAAGGTGAGCATTCTTCAAGGTCAAATTTCACCTTCATCTGTTGGAAGTGGGGGGATGGCAAGAGGGAGCAATACAATCTTGTTACACAAAACAAACAAAAAATGGCAGTGAACCTAAACCAGTCAGGCAGCTTTGACTGTGTTAATTTGAGGAACATTATGAAGCAAATGGAAACTTCACTAGCAGTGGAATCTAACAATCTGAGTCCCGTGCCACATCCCAGCATGGTTTATGTCACCTTCTTTTTGAACCTGTGCTTGAGGAAGTTCTAAATGAGGCTCTCACACTATCCTGGCTTCCATTGCTTTCTAAATTGCTCACATGTCAACTAATCACTGGAATAACATGTAATCCTTTTGACTATACAACTGCTTCATTGTCGTATGACTTTAATAGTTGTCAACTTTCTAGCAAAGCATACTTACCCCATTCTATCAAAACTGCAGCTATGGAACTCAGCAGGTCTGATTTAATCCAAGGCTCTGGCCAAATCATTTCCTGTGGTTAAAGGTTGCAATTCTAGATTCCAAAACTGTTCCTTTAATTCTTTTTCTTCAGTTTTCTTTCTCATCCTTTAACTCATTATGACATTAAAAGTGACCTTTAACATCAGTACAAGAAAACTAAAATCTTGAACACAAAAAAGGCGCGCTAAAAAAGGCACAGTGGTAGTGAGAAAATAGAGTTGAAGAGTTGAGTAGACACACAGAGAGGTAAGAGATTAGAGTAGGGAAATGAAAACAAGAAAGAACAGACAACCTCTCCTTTCCTTAAGAGTAACCACATGTCAGATCTATGTGAACAGTCTTACATTCTGTTTTACTTATAAAGAAGTTAAGGTATAGATGATATTAAGCCACTTCTTGAATTGAAAAAACCAAAGCATTTGAGAGTGCTTTGGTGGCTTGGGTCAAGTCTTAGTGTTAATAAATAGATTAGCTAGGATTGAGATGAGAAAGGGTTTGGAGGATCTGTTTCCAGAAACCAGTTTAGTTGGTGATAGCAAGGTCAGGTTGGAGGTGCAATAGGAAGCGACCTGACACATGTTCTTTTCACTTAAATTAAAGCAGCACATTTCTAGGAAGATGGTAAGAACTGTTTTCTTGTGAATGACTGGTTTTGAATGATTTGAGTCACAAAAGTCTTAGAGAACACATGATATAAAACAGAAGAAGGAGGAGGGAACAAGTGAAGGGGAGAGAAGAGAAATTTGATCCTTTCCTGGTGTCTAACGATTCTATTGTCAAAACTGTAAGTTCAGTGCTAACTTTCAAATTCTGTGTTTATTCAAAGAATTTTTTGAGGCGGAATATAGGTCCCAGGCAATTTTCCTAAATTCACGCAAAAACAGTTTTCAGAAACCCAGTGGGTGTGATCTTAGAATCCCATACCATGGTGAGGGTGAGTAGTGGGGGCCATGCACTGTGGACAAGTGGCCTTGTGTGATGTTCTAGGTCATATTCTGATAGTCAGCCAATGGGCTAAGGAAAAGTCAGCTAATTATTTGAATTGTAATCAGTAACATAATGAATACTAATCTGTAACAAATATTTACTAACTGATTTGTATTCATTAATTATGTTCCCACTTTATCACCCAGACACAAGAAATTCTCACAAACATTTAAATAAAATATAGGCACTCAAGGAAACATCTCAGAACTTTGTTGGATAGAAACATTGTGACTGAAAGATTGGCTTTCTCTTTGCATAGATGCTTGACTTGAGGTAGTATTAGCTCACTTATAGGGAAGAGCTTTGTGTAAAATCATAAAACTGGAAAACTTGCTGTTTTTTGGAATTTTTCTTGTATTGGTGAATACTCACAGTAGGGTAAATGCTAATCCCAGTATTGAAGAATGTCAAATTTGAACAACCTATTTGGATACGATTATATATATATATATATATATATGCATATATATATATTATAGAATTTACTTCCAAAAAGAAAGACCTTAACACAAATTTTGTCCCCTGTACACAACAAAGCAGCACAAACAAAACCCAATTTCAGTACAGTGTTCAACAACCTTGTGCTATAACTTTCCTATTAGGGTATTAGGGTTATAAAGTTAGTAGCTATGAGAGGCTGAAAGGATCTTGAAGTAATGAATGGACTTGGAGTTTTATTCTCTTATCTCTCATGTGGCCCATAGTAACCATATGGTACAGAACTTTAGGGATCCTGGGTAACTAGGGCTGTTTGCAGTCCCTTGGGTCACCATTGCCAGGATCCTAAGGAATGACTGTAAAAAGAGTTGTTTTAGTCTGGAGAAACTAGGACTGTTTGTTTTTCTGGTATTAGCCCGCTGAGACATTCACACAGAAAAATGCCAGTGCCAAGAAGGCACAGCACAATCAAGTAGAATTGATTACTGTGGAGTGTAAATGCACTAAGGAGATCGAACTTTCTTTTCAAATGACAGAAAAATACTGGGCTAAACTATTAAAACCTGGAGAAAAACAATGTGTAGAGTACTATAAAAATGTGAGTCATTTAAAAAATGGTCTTAATATCAGCTTTTGTGAATCGCAGTAATTTTTTTTTTTTACCCATCATGTTCCGATAGCTTCAGGAGAAACAACAAACTGTAATATGCAGAAATAATCAAGGCAAAAGTACCATCTTATTTCACTGTAATAGTTATAAAACCTATGTGAACACATAAAATGATTTTTCACTGTCCTTTAAAAGAAGGTATGTGACAGGAGTTGTTTATAGTCCTAAAGCATGTATCTTTCTACTTCCTTTCAAATACCATCTGAAAGACCTGTACAATTATTAACGAGGTCATACAACCCTTCTGAGCCTGTTTCACCAGCTGGCAATTTCTAGAGACATACATCACCCTTCCAAAGAGCATCTCCCTATGGGTTGGTATTTGAATGGCAGCTATAGCTTGTAATGTTAGGAATGCTAATAATTTTCTTACCTCTTCCTTCTCAGCACTCTGCAGATCACGCCATTCCTCGGTGACATGGCCAAAATCCACAGTGTTCATAGGGACTTTGAACTCTCCAATGATGTCATGCTTGGAGAAACGATCAAAATCATATACGGCCATCACTAGAGTTTTGCCACCTAATTCCGAGTATGGCACCTATATGGAAGAAAATAAGGATAAGACATCTGGTCGCAAAAGTTATCTGTAAACAATGTTTAGTAGGTATGCTGGAGAAACAGAACAAGAAAATATTTGAGTCTATTAGCTAATTGTTTAAACTACTTGGGAGAAAATGGAAAAGAGCTGTAGTGATTTGTCGTATTATTTGAAAGTTCTAGAAACTGCTGGCATTATCAATAGACCCTCTTACTAGTTATGTTATAAATGCTTCAGGATTAATGAAAGAACAAGCAAGCCAAGTGCATTTGACTATACAAATGTCTCTTGTGAAATATTTTGTTATTGTTATTTATAGTGCAGGGGCATAACTTATTTCAAAATATTCAAGTCATTTATTCACCCCAGTTTAATGGACACAACCTCTTCAAGCCATTTAGAGAGTTAAACGAAGGGGAGACGTTAAAAAAGATATGCTAGCAGTTTGAAAAGATTTAAATGAAATTCAAAAAGCGCCTCACCTACTCTCTAAAATAATTTAGTGATTGACATGAACTGACTAGAAAATTGATGTTTTGAATATCAGAGATTCATTATAATATGGATCTTGAAGTTCATTCGTAGGTATGACACTCGTTAGCACGAATAGTGGCAAAAGGCCAAGAATGGATGAAGTTTGCAGCTGTTCAAATGCATCTGGGACAGATGCTATGGGTTGGAAAGTTTATTAGCGACATTTTTAATATTCAGGGAATACACTGCAACCCAAGCAGACTGCACTTCAGTGATGGGGTAGAAATGCCTAATCAAGAAATTGCTTAGACTCGTACTCAAGAGTCGATTAATTTTCATACAATTTTATCAGTGTAAATGCCTGTCTTATGTTCCAGTAAACATTTCTCAATTAACTCTACATTAAGAAGGAAAAGAGAAGAAAGATTATTTGATCATTTATATGAAGAAGTTTTAGCTCTCCAAAGAGTGCCTATCATCTATTATGTTCAAAATAAGGTTATTAAAAAAAAATTGTGGCTGAAATCTAGGATTTTTTTTATTAATTTAAGAAGAATCTAAAACTTGTAGGAGCTAAATTTCAGAAGAATCCACAAATTTTAGAGTAGAGATAAACCCATAATTTTTTATTGTATGTCTAGAATCTCTTGATTGTCCTGAAATAGTGACAGTCCAAAGCTCATGTTTTGGGTCAGAGAGACCTGAGTCTAGGTGTCCCAGCTTTCTATGTGAAGGGCCTGGGGCAGCTGAACTAACCTCAGCTTCTTCATCTGTCTAATTGTAGCAATAATAGCCATCCTTTCACAGAGCCATTTTGCAAATGAGTCAGTTTATTTTAAATATCTAGCACACTGTTGGCACTTAAGAATCATTTATTATTAATATCTCCTCAAATGAAAGTTTATTTTAGAGAAAAGAAGAAGAACTTATTTTGGGGCATGTTGTTTCAATAGTTGTTCTAGTAGATTTAAGCCAGTCTTTAAATTCTCTTTTTGTTATTTTGTTTTGTTTTTGATTTTTGAGTTTTTCCTTTTTATTTGGACAGAATCTTCTTAGTCCCAGCCTGCCTGGAAGCCATTATGTGGACCAGGCTGGCCTCAATCAATCTCACAGATGCCTCTGCCTCTGGAGGACTGGGACTAAAGATGCACGCATGTCTGGCTCTTTAAACTCTCTTATTCTTTTACTTATATTGCATGGCTACTTAGCATTTCAAAATATGTAACTTATAATGTCTACTGGAGAAATTAACCAGTTCTTAAAAAAATTGACTTGTGTCTTAAATGTATCAAAATATACTATTAATATATTTATGGCTTGATCTACCTTCCTGAAATGAAGTAAAGTAAAACTTGTAAAAGTTTCTAAAAATTTTAAAATAATATGCTTTTTGAAGACATGGAAGTTTCTAACAAAATTATTAGCGATATGTATGCTTCAAATGAAATAGTATGAAGGTAACTCAAAACAGCAGAATATGCCACACTATTATTTCAAATAATATAAGAACCCAATGAGTAAATTCTAGTTAGAAGTTGCTAATATAAATAAAGACTAATATGTAGCAAATAAAATGCTACTGGATATTATTTATAATATTTTAAATAATTTATATTCATTGTTGTGGTCTAGTGACTATAATGACCTGTTTTCAATAACATAGGAATTTCCAGAATGTTATTACTGCTCCTTTAATGGTCTAGGCACAGAACAAGTATAGACTTTAAATCATATTACTGATGACACATTATAGAGGATTTATATCTTGAAAACTCAAAAAATTTATAGAGAATAGAAAGACGCTGTTCCTCCACAAAACTGCAAATGAGGTTTGAAGAGATGACTCATGTTTCCAGTTTCAGTTCCCACTGGAATGGTGGACCACACAAGGCACGTGTTATCACCAAGCCTGGCTGGTGGACGCGTAATTTTGAATCAGTCTGCATGCATATTCACAGACATTTCACTTTCCAGAAATGTATTGTTCTAAGGAGAGCATTTTAAAACAATTTCACAGATCTCCCAGGAGAATTGTTTTTATGAATGACTTCAAGCCAAGAGTTACAAGGAGCCCTGAGGCTTTCAGGGCATGTCTTTGATGAGTTTTCATGTGGCCAGAACGTCTCTTGGTTATTGTTTGTCAACTGAAGTGTCTCAACAAGATGAACAGCATCAGAGAAGAGCCTGGAGTAAAGGAATAATGGTGGAAATGCAGAAAAAATATGTTCGCAATTTTTTCATTGATTAAAGGAAGGGCTTTGGAGTATTCTGACTGCCCCCTGGTAGCAACATAAGTACTGGAGCACAACTCCCCTTTTTTTGACTGAAGAGTTTACCTGTTTTCAGGACTTTGAAATTCTGCAAAATACTGACCCTGGAGGTGATGGGGTGGGTATCCAAATACACAAAGCACTTTTCAGGTGTGGCTGTGATAGTGAAATGTTTATATTCCACTGTGAAAAGACACAGCCAAATCCTACTTTGAGGACATTTAAGTCTAATGTAGAATCTTCACTAGACTGAAAATTAAAATTCAAAATATTTGAATATAACCATGGTGAGTTTCTAGAGTAATTGTGTTTATGCGCATGCTTCTGTATGTGTCAGCATGAAATTAGTATTTAATCTAAAATAATAAAGTAAAAACCATAAATAAATACAAAAAATACCTTGAAAGTAAATTGTTCATTGAAGACGGGATTGAGAGTTTTCCGGTGGACTTTTGTCTCAAATTTCTTCTTTTTATCAGGCAGCAGGAACACTTTGACGTAAGGATCGGATGTGCCACCCATGTCCAGGGCGGGCAACTCAGCAGCCTGGATGATCCCTACCAACAGCTGGATGGATGACAGAAAAGAAGCAGCACAGATGTTGGTGGTAGTTTTGGGAAAGTTTGATGTGTTCACGTGCTGTGTATTGTGATTTCTCCTTGTTCCTTTCCTTTAGTAAACTTTTATTCTCATGCATCTGAATACAGAGGGCAAATGACATGAGCTCTCTGGACTTCAGACACCCAATTATGACAGATGCAGGCTCTAGGAAGCCTAGTTTTAAGCACAAAAGAGGCTTTTAAAAGCTTGCTGATTACAGTTAAATATGGAATTTGTATTTGCAGAAGGGTTGCAATCAGATAACTTTCCAGTTGCTAAAAGCTCTTGCACATTGTTTTTCTTGCTGGGGCATGCTTTGTAAGTGGAAATAAGTTGTTAAACAATCACAAGTCTGCAATTATAAAGCCAGAGTGTTTTGTTCTTTTCTAAAGACTTAGATCAGCTGAATGGTAATTTCTTAGAAATTGGGTAATATTTTGAAATAAAAAACCAAGATGACCACATTTCTATCCTACTTGACTGATACTTGTGTGATGGTTAGGTTCTGCTTTAGCTTATAACACAATGATTATTTAAGACATTTTGCATTCAAATACAGGGAATGGAATAAAAATTATAATTTAAACTTCATAGAGCGGAAGGGGAGATTTATACATAGGATTTTTAATGTTAAGTAACTATTTCTGATTTCTCAAATAGAGCAAGCAAATTCTTCTGCACCCAGTTTTCTGACTAATAAAATCATTAATTTCATTGGGACTATTAAGACAGTGTGGCATTATTATTGCTAGCTTTTTTATATAAAGTTTCATTCTATAGCCCAAGCTAGCCCCAAACTTGGGGCAAAACAACTGCCTCAGCCTTCCTAAAACTGGGATTCTAGGTATGAGGCAAAATACTTGGCTTGTTAATTTTTTTTAAATTAAATTTTATTTTTTGAAAATTTCATCCTTTTTTTTAAGAATTTCTCCCCCAACTTTCAAAGAAAAAAAAAAGATGTGAAATCTCACCATTAGAGTCATTAGAGATTTTTAAAAATTTATTTAATAACCATATAATTAGAAGAAGGAGCATTTCATTAGAACAGCATTTATGTCTCCAAACATGTTTAGATTTCGAGGCACACACTTGAGGAAATGTAGACAAACCACAGGTTTTCACTTCAGGATGTGAATATGAGTCTGACTTTTTAGGCAATGGATTGCATAAGTTAAGCAATTTACTTCCTTACAAAATATGACACCCAGTTTTTGTAAACTGACCCATATATTCAGTACATTTTGGCTGCCTGGCTCGTATTTGAACATGGATCCTACCCTGAAGAAGTGTACTGCTTCCGCTGTAAAGCTTCAGTATCTAGTTTGGCATCATCTTTCAGCAGAGGCAAAGACTGCTGGAAGTTAGGTACAGAAAACAGACAGATGGTCCAAGAATAGCTTACGTAGGCATTAGAGTATGAAGACATGCTTAGTAAAATAAGCAGTCTGTCTCTTGGCTTATTAAATTTGTGTTTTGTATTTACCTTTATGTGTCAATGTAAATAATATTTTATTTCTTCATTCTCATTTTTTATAATCAGTTTTCTTTTGGACAGGGAGAACATTAGAAATATAGCTGATACTCAAGTGGAATAATTTTATTTTAGAGGTTTTTGCTATTGAGGATGAAGTGATTTTTTTTTCCAACCTCCTGCTGACTTCTGCTTATGAGATAAATATTCCACTTCTTCTCACCATGAAATCTTCTTAATTAAAGGACTTGAAGGTCAGCTTTTAGTTAAACAAATATGCATATTGGGCTGCAGCCTTGTCTATAAAGTTCTCAGACTTTATCTTTTCTAACTCACTGGAACCATGCTATAAGTCAAACTAGATAAGAAATTTTTTTGGGAAAAAACAATGCATGGTATTTACCAGTTTTCATCAAATAGAATCTTCCAGCTATTCCATAAGAAAGTATCTCTTCTAGATTTAACGTTTGCTGAAAAGGGAGCAGTAAATATATTCTCATTATTTTTGAGTAAAAAAAAAATCAGTGCTAGTATTTCTTAAAAATAATATTGAGGAAAGACCTGCCACAGCTCTCTCTCCTACCCGCAGCCCTCTCTCCAGGGTAAGGCCATCATGCCCTCTGTGCCTTGAACTTCCTGATCCTTCTTATCCAGACCAATGTAGTTACTTCTCTGGGCCCCAGGAGCATTGTTTCTGGGCCTGGCCCTGCCCTCACCTCCCTCTGTTTCCCTGGATCTGCACCACCCACCCGCCTCTTCCTGGGATGCAGCTGCTGACCTTTCCTCTTCCAGATCCTTTGCATCCAGACCAACACAGCTCCTCAGTGTAGTCTCCAGGAGTCCTTGGTGCCTCTTCCCGCCCCATTTGCCTTTGCATCTCTGGGTGGCAAGGCCACCAGCTGCCCTAGACCAGCAACTTTCCTGGGTCAGGCCCCAGGCCAGTCCAACCACCAAATTCCTAAGCCCAAAATCGTTCCTGGAGGGATCCAGACCTTAGGAGAAAGACCTGAAAACATCTGACCCTCATCTGAATTGGGCCTCTGTGGGAAATCCTGAAGACAAAAGCAATCCGGCCACTCCAATATAAAATCAAAAGAGAGAACCGGAAGCTTAGATG